TAATGTATTTTGGGGTTTAAAAGCCACTGGGACGTTATGTTTAGAAAATAAACGTCTCAGTTTCTCTGATACTCCCTCAACATATGGAATGACCACTGGTCTGGGTTCCTCCTTTTTTGAACCTGTCCAGAGGACCTGACTTAACTTTTTTTTAGACTGTAGAAATTATTTGTTGTAGAAGAGAGCAAAGCAATTACAGGATATTTGGAATATATATATATATTTTTAATCAAACTTTTTTTGTATTTAGAAACAGTTTAAACTACAATCCCATCTGTTAGTGCTTCAGTCTTGAGGAGTTGAAGTCAATATTTTGTGGTTTTGTTTAGTCAGGATGTCCAGTCTTCCTGCCCTGCTGGTCCTGTATGGAAGTCAGACTGGTACCGCCCAGGACACAGCACACAGGCTGGCCCGGCAGGCCCAGAGGAGGCGGCTGAATGTCCGGATGATGTCCTTGGACAGTTACAGTGTGGTGAGTCTGGATGATGTACTGACAAAGGATGAAACTAATATTTCTATTGAATTCATTACGCCATAAAATGTGTCATTTCTTTGTGTTTTGAGGCCAATCTGATCTCGGAGAGGCTGGTTGTGTTCGTCTGCTCCACCACGGGAGAAGGAGACCCTCCAGACAACATGAAGGTACCCCGACCCACTGTAGGACTTCAGAACCATTCTGACTGCTAACACCACCTGTTTGTCAGGTCCTCAGGACGTGCAAAAAACAACAAAAATTGTAGAAACGTTTCGTCTCTCATCTGAAAGACTTCTTCAGTCTGAGGTGCTGTATTCAGCTCAGTCTTAGAGGACCTGACTTAACTTTTGTTAGATCTTTCTATCTGGATTATTGAGCATGCATCAGGATATTTTGAGCCACCTGTTTTTTCTTTGTTCTCTCTGAAGAACTTCTGGAGGTTCCTCTTTAAGAAGTCTTTACCTGCTGCTTCGCTGAGCCGTCTGGACTGTGCCGTTCTGGGCCTGGGGGACTCCTCTTACCCAAAGTTAGTTCAGGTTTTGGATCTACCCGTCTCAAATGAACCAGGTTCTGGTGCGGCTCCACAGAATAAATAAACATTTAGTAAGCTCAGAGTGAGGTAAAACTTGCTCTGATTGCAACAGCCATTTTAAGGGACTTGTAGGAGCTTCAGGTCTTTATAAAGTTCTGTCTGTAGCATCCATCCTCCCTCTTCCTCCCTTAAACATATGTTCTGATGATGATGGTACCAGGTGACGAAGAGCTGAATCTTTAGGTACTATTTTGTCAGAAAAGTTTATTTTTGTTTGTTTCAGGTTTAATTTTGTTGCTAAGAAGCTGCAGAAGCGCCTTGTGCAGCTAGGGGTCAGCATGCTGGTTCCTGTGGGTCTGGCAGACGATCAGCACGACCTCGGGTCAGAACCACAGCTCTGTCGTGAAACAAACAGAAGGCATGGTTTTCCTTTTGAAGTCACTGTTTGCTTGTTTGTTTGTTGAAACAGGCCGGACGCTGTCATTGACCCGTGGCTCTCATCTTTCTGGGAGAAGGTGTCAGTTCTGAACCCATCTCTGGCTGACGTGGTCCCTCTGAGGGAGGATGAGGCGTGAGTTCAGCTGGTTCTGTTTTTAAATTTTGTTTGTAAACTTTAACTTCTGTTTGTTTGTTTGTTTGTTTGTTTGTTTCAGACTCCCTCCATCGTTCTCGTTTCACTTCCTGGACGACAAATTGGAGACGGACGATTGTCTGACGATCCAACGGGACCGTGAGGTTCTGTCTGAGCCCCATCCTTTTTCTGCCAGGATGGTGTCCAACAGGCGGCTGACAGAACCGACCCACTTCCAGGATGTCCGGCTCATAGAGTTTGACATTTCTGGGTCCAGTCTTGAGTACGTTCATGTCCTGGTTCTGCTTCGATCTGAGCAAGGTTCTTGGGTTTGAGACCTTTCTGGTGATGATCTGCAGGTTTGCAGCCGGAGACGTGGTTCTGATCCGTCCATGTAATACAGAAGAAGATGTGCAGCGGTTCTGTGAGCTGCTCAGGTTGGACCCAGAGTCCAGATTCACTCTCAGAACCACAGAAAACTCTTCAGGTATGTCAGAAAGCTGCATTCCTTTAGGGTGTCTTTGATCCTGAAATCCGGTTCTGTTCTTCTGGACCCTCAGTTCCGCCAAGGCTTCCTCAGCCCTGCTCTGTGCGCCACTTGCTCCAGAACCACCTGGACATCGGTGCCGTGCCCCGCCGCTCCTTCTTCGAGCTGCTGTCCACATTCGCTACTAATGAGCTGGAGAGAGAGAAACTGAGCGAGTTCTGCTCAGCGGCGGGTCAGGACCAGCTGCACGCCTACTGCAACCGGCCCCGGCGCACGGCGCTGGAGGTGACGCAGAGTCTGAGTCCAGACGAGTTTCAAACTCTTTATCCAGTGATTCCTGTAATGTGCTAAACTGGTCAGAGGCCTGATTCTGGTTCAAACCCACATTTGGCTTTTGTTCTCGTTTCAGGTTCTGGCAGATTTCCCTCACACCACAGCTGAAATCAAAGTGGATTATCTCCTGGATCTGTTCCCTGAGATCCAGGCCCGGTCCTTCTCCATCGCTTCGTCTCTGCAGGTAGCTCGGGTTATGAAACGAGTGCAGAACCTCAGAGATGAAAACCTAAAACCTTTTCTGCTCAGGCTCTTCCTCACAGGCTGCAAATCCTCGTCGCTGTAGTTCGATTCAGAACCAAGATGTACAAACCAAGACGGGGACTCTGCTCCACCTGGTTGGCCTCTCTGGACCCCCAACAAGGTCCTCCTCGAGTACAACCCGTTTTCTGCTGAGGGATTACAGATGATCTTTAAAGATTCCTCTTTGTTTCTGTAGGGGGGGTCTCCATTCCTCTGTGGGTGAAGAAGGGGACTCTGCGGTTCCCCAAAGAGGCCGACACCCCTGTGATCCTGGTCGGACCGGGGACTGGAGTAGCCCCCTTCAGGGCTGTCTTACAGGAGAGACTCTCTGAGGGAAAAACTGGTGAGGTCTTGGTGGTTCAGACAGGTTTCCTCTGCTGTCTCAGCTCCTTCTGATGTTTCCTCTGTCTCTTCAGCTAACATTCTGTTCTTCGGCTGCCGCTCCGAGTCCAAAGACTTCTTCTTTCGCTCCGAGTGGGAGGACATGACAAAGGCTGGACACCTGCTCCTCTTCACCGCTTTCTCCAGAGACCAGGTCAGAACCACACAGTACCTTCATGTTGGTTATCCAAACCTGGTCCTGAGGCGGGACCAGCTGAGGTGTGGTGGACTCTGAGCTTCTGTGTGTTCAGGCGGAGAAGGTCTACGTTCAACACCAAGTGATGGAGAACTCTGCGCTCCTCTGGGACCTGATCACCAAGAACTCCGCCTGGTTTTACATCGCCGGGTGAGTCCAGTACACCTCGGACTGTAGCTCATTCACATTTCTATTTCCTTCATTTGTACTGACAGTGAGTGACGTTTGTGGATTTTGTTATGTACCGGGGACTTTTGGACCAGGACTGATGAGTTTACCTCAAACTGCCCCAGTGTTCAGAGGTTGCACACCCAAACTCCCATTGACGTCCATAGTATGCAGCTCAGTGTTTCCCCTAGGTCATTGGTCCCCAACCCCCAGGCCGTGGACCAGTACCGGGCCGCACAGAAAAAAAGTTTTGTAAAATCACCAGATTCTCTTCACCGCATCTGTCTATGACTCACTCTTGACACAGGTCAGCAGACGCAAGTAGTTACTTTCAGTTTCTGTTAGGCATGCATGCGCAGATCGGTTCTACAATGCCCGCGTGAGTGGTGAACAGAGTAATTCAACTGCATGGTCTGGAGTAGACAGGTGGAGGCGCGCGACCGTATCTGCGGATTTAATGCATATTTTTCAACCCGCCTTTCTTTCTCTCCCTCGTTCTAGTATGAGGCGGACGCAGTCTCTTCCCTCTCCTGTTCTCCTGCTTTTGAGCCCTCGGTCTGTGATTCGGAGCTCCTATTTTACAGATCTTCAGAAACAAAAACTACTGTTATGGATTTAATCAACTGGACTTTCAAAACAATCGATAAAATCTTTTCAACATAGCGACAGGGTCCTGGAGAGCCCTCTTGTCCTGCTGAGAATCTTAGGAGGATGCTGAAGACATACAATTGGATTTATGATAACAGGTTTCCTTATTTTTGGAATCGGATGGTTCCTGGTTTATCAGCATACAAGACAGCTGCAGCTAATTTGGCCCTCGGCTGACCGCTTGTGAAGGTTTGGTTCATGCTTTGAGGACTCAAAATCAGCTGATTTATGAGCTAAACTGTAAGATGGAAGAGATTTGTGAGAATCGCAGGCCACCTGTGGCTTTGGGACTCGCCAGCATGTTGGAAACGACATTGGGGGGGCTTGTAAGCATGGACCACTGGTAGAATGCACCCTCATCTGGCCATTTTGGATCTTGAAAGTATCAGTAGGACTCAAGGCTGACAAGAAAAAACAGTCTGCCTGAAAAAAATCAACAATTGTGGCTAATCTGGGACTCCCCCAATTGGCCTTGAAAACAGGCCGACATATCAATTTCACCTGGGAAATATGTAAACTAAGGAAAAGCTTTATCACCCCCATCTCCCTGAGAACTTCTGTGGAGGCTTATCAGAACTGTGCTGGCTAACCATCATCTTATCAGGACTATGGTCTATCTGGAAGTGCTTCATGGACCACCTTGCCGTCAAATGCATATGTAACGTGTTCATAAATGTGCTTGCTGGCAGAATTTTTTCGTCTTAAATTGTGTCCTGATAGGACAAGGTGTGACGAGATCTTTTTTGTAATGCCACTATCCTCTCCTCATGGCTTTTTCCCCTTTTCTATCTAAAAAAAAGTATTCTGAAAAGAGGCTGCACTATCATAGCAGCAGCTACGTGCATTCCGCCCATCTTTAAGACGACTGTACAAACATATTCTCGCTATATCTTGGTACAATGATAATAAAGCTTATTCTGATTCTGAAAGAGTGACTGGAAAACAGGTGAAGCCCAAATCTCGTTTATATGTAGCATTGATGAGTTTTAATGTGGTGAGTGAGACCCACTTGGTGTTTGAATCAACTTCCTGATGCTTGCCTCGGTCACATGGCTACTTTCTTAAAGGGGCTGCTCCCGGCAATATTCTAAACAATGTTTCTAAACTCTAAACGCTCTAAAAGAGCATAGAATGCCATGATTTCAGCTCTCTGCCTCCGGCTGCACTCTCGGCCTTGCCCACTTCTCCACTGCACAGAAATCAGCTGATCTCCATGCAGAGCAGAGATCAGTTTATCAGCTGCAGGAGGAAGCTTCTCCCACAGCTGTGAGCTGCACACAGATGCTAGGGGCGGCTGTGGCTGAGTGGTTAGAGCAGTCGTCCTCCAATGCAGGAGTTGGGGGTTCGAATCCACCAGCAATCACATACCGAAGTGTCCCTGGGAAAGACATTGAACCCCTCGTTGCCTCCGATGTGTGTCCCTTCAGTGTATGAATGTGATGAAGCTCTGATTAGTCTCTTTAGAATGATTTGTTCAATTAGCTTTGTAGAGATCTAGTATAGAGCTGTATGAATGGGTCAATGAGAGCACAGATTGTTGTAAAGAGCTTTGAGTATCTTGATCAGATAAGAAGGCGCTGTACAAGTACAGTCCATTTAAATAATTTATTTTAAATCGTGTGGCTCATCCATCAATCAGCCAAATGTGTGTTATGTCCAATCTTACTTTGAAAAACCACGATAGGGCGAGTCCATGAAGAACAAACTGCGAAGTATCGAGGGACCACTGTATTTGTTCTTATCTTATGTTGAAGGCATGTTTAACCTTTACTGTTACAACCAGAGAGTGTGGGGCTGTGTGGGAGCAGAGCGCTGCGTCTCTATTTTTTTAGCTAGTGCATCTGTGTTGCGCACTGCTAGCTCAGTGCTTCGTCAGTGCCGGCAGTTGTCGGGGGGGGTTGTGACTGAAGGACATTTCGGTAGGCAGGGCATCCTTGGACAATGGTAGAGGAAACACTGGAGCTGCATTTTCTCTTCAAACAGGAAGTGGAAGCTGCTTTGAACCCAACCTGTCTAAACCTGAAGGAGTGTCAGGAACCGCTTCTGCAGAAACATTCACAGATAAATCCTCTGGAGGTCCAACAGATCTGATGGATATGTTCCTGTTGGAGCTGACTGTGCCAGGTCAATGATCTGGGTGAGAACCCACGAATCTGAGGTCTCAGTACCTGTGTCAGACCAGGTTCTCTAGTGGACTGTAAAACCAGCTGAAACTCTGCTGACTCAGAGAAGTGGGGTTGCTGATTTGGTCGGCATGACTCCGGTGAACTTTAGGATTCAGATTAACCAGAGTTCATAAAGTGAATCAAATCAACCCGCTGTGGTTTTAAAGACCGAACGTAAAAAAAATAATTTCCATTTCTGCTTCGTTTAAAAAAACATTTTTTTTTACATGTTGTCGTTCTGTTGCAGGAGCTCCAAACAGATGCCGGTCGACGTGCGTGGCGCCCTGCAGGACGTCTTCCAGCAGGAAGGAGGCATTTCTGCTGATGAGGCGGAGCAGATGCTGGCAGTCATGGAGCAAACGGGCCGCCTGCAGAGGGAGACCTGGTCCTGACCCGTCCGCAGAGGCCAGATTACTATAAATGCCTGTTGAATGTAGGGCTGGAACTGCTCTGTAACATGCTGGGGACCAGATTATTTTTCATTTAATTTGTCTTGATGCTTGAAACCTGAAAGATAATTAATTTTTTCCATCGTTCATCTGAGAAACTAAATTATTTCTCCCGTCAGACATTGAGTAAAAGCAGAATTTTAATAAAACTACAGACTGAAAATTTGGAATTAATCTGTAATCCAGAGTTTCAACATTAAGAAACGAGAAGTTCTGTTCCAGTTTTACCTCAAAGTCAAGCCAGTAGCAACATTAACTCCCACCATCAGCTTCAAACAAACCACCAGGGATCCAAGTGACCACAGGTTGAACTAATCCAGATTATCCTGGATTATTAGTCAGGATTTCATCCAGTAGGAGGTGTAACAAACAGGAAGATTGGAAGTTGAGTTAATTTCTGACTGAACGTTTTATTTAAACACGTTTTGGGCTCTTTTTTTTTTTTAAACAAAAAAGCAGACCAGAGCTTCGTCTGAGCGTGAAGGGCTTCCAGCACCTGTTGTCATGGTGACGCAGTTCAGGAGCAGCATTGTAGCATGGACCCCACAAAGCTGCATCGTGACTTTGTAACGCAGGTAAAATCATGTCTGTTGGTTCGCCATCCACTGACGGCCAGGTGGTGCAGCGGCATCTACCGGAGCGCCAGCGTGTGCACCTGATAGATCTCCTTGGGTAAGTTCATCTGCTGTTCCTCGTGGACGATCCGGAGCCCAGCTCTGGCCACCAGGCTCCGAACGATTCCCAGGTCTCGGCACACGCTGCTGTCCACCTCGTCCGGGATTACGCCTTCGTATGACACGTTGTCCTTTACGACGACGAGTCCGCCGGGTCGCAGCGCCTTCTGGCAGCGGTGCAGGAAGTCCACCAGGTGGTCGTCTGTCAGGTGACCTGCAGTAGGAAGGTAAACACGAGTTAATCAACAAACACTGAGGCGGTTCTGAGTTAAACCCAAAGTAAAGAGCACGTCTCTCCTGAAGCCGCTTCAGGCACAGACCACAACGTGCCCCCTCCATGCTCAACTGTCTGTGTTTTTTGGCTCTCAGCGGGTTTTTTTAAAGCGCCGTCATTCAGAAACAAATATCTCAACAGTAAATGTCAAGGTTTCTGCAGAGCTTTAAAAAGTATTCAATTTGAATATTCGAGGCTTTAAATATTTTGTTTAAAAAAAAAAAAAGATAAGCCATTTGGAAATAGTTCATCAGATTTCAGCTATAAATTGTTGCCATAATGTACATTAGGGTAACGGGAACCATTTTAATAGTTGTCGATGAGTGCGTAAAAAAACGGTGTGTTGGAGGAAAAACATGAAAACGTCAGGAGCTGAGGCTAAATTAGTTCATTCAGCTGAAGATCAGGATGAAGACTCTTAAGTGTTTATAAAAAAAAATTCAAAAAAGACCTACCGGTAAACTTGGGCTGAATGGACTTTTGTGCTGTGAAGCAAGGTAGCAACAGACCCGAAACCGAGGCTCATTAATGTGATGTAGTGATGACATCTGGTCTGCGCGACCACCCGGCAGCGAAATTTAACCACAAGAAACCCATTTATTAGAAAATGAAGACCAACGATGACGCACAGAAGCCTTTTTATTTAAAAACTTAATAATAATAATGTGTATGTATTGTCATTATTGAATGTTCCCATACAATGATGAAATTGGCTCTTCATTTAGCCCACCCACCACGGGGCGGGGGGTGACCTTTGGGGGTGCCCGGGGGGCAGCTGGGGATGGGGTGTCCTGCTCAGAGACTCCATGAGATGTGCAATGACCGGGGATCGAGCTCGGAGCCTTCGGGTCCCGAGTTGGCTGCTCTGCCCCTACACCATCTTGGCCCCCTAGATAACCATGGATTGAGTTAATTTATCATGTTTTGAAAATGATACGAGGCAGCCGTCCGTCATAAATTTAATGCTCCACATAGGGCTGATTGATTTTGGAAAATGTTCTAATTGTGATATTTTTTATTTTATTGCGATTTAATATGTCTTCATGTATTTCTCAACGAACACAAGCAATAAATCAATCTGTTTCAGTTGAAAAACTCCAGTTTTCAGCTCCGCTGCAACTCTGTTTCTGCATTTTTTTGTATAGCTCCGGGATAGCAACTTGGCTAAAATGTGTGTGGGGGCATTCTTTACCGCTTATCCATTGTTCATTCAACCTTTATTTAGACAGATAAGTCACATTGAGCCTACAAGACTCATTTACAAGTGAGATCTGTTTGATTGTGTTTACCAAAGCTGTAAACCCAGGCTTGGTCACTATATTAATGGGCATTGTGTCTTTTGCTATGAACTCCGTTACTGCTCGAGTTATTTCCATGTGCCGTTTTGAATTATGTTCATATGGAGCAATACCTTCGAACAGTTCAGTCAGTGATCCCTGTCGGCTGGTACTTTGCTTACTTTAAGTTGAAACACTGGTCGATGGCATTCTAGCCATGCAACTATCGTAAATGGCTTTGTGGTATTTTGTTAAGTGTTGATAAAGATTCATGGTGTTACCTTGAGAGGTAGCAACAGCAGCAAGGCAGGTTCTGCATAACACATGTTGCGCAGCAGCATCTTTTTTATAGCCAAAATAATTCCAAACAACAGATGTGCTGCCCTCTTTGGTACCAAACTTTCAGATGTATCAGCTTCTGTTGAGCCATTGTGCAACCAGTTAAAGCGCAGTGTTGACTTCTCCCGCCCCCTGCTCTGCTTTGCTCTGCTCCGCTCACTTGCAAGTCACGTAACCAGATCACATTTCCAGTCAAATTGCAGCCTTTGCAATTAGAAAATATTGTTTTATCAATCACGATATTATTGCAAATGCAATTAATTGTTTAGCCCCAGCTCCATGTCAGCCCAGCTGAGTTCTGCTCCACGACTCTTTCGGTTCGGTGATCCACTTTTCAATGAGTTAGAATTCTAATGAAGAGTTTGTGAAGTAAGGCACAAAAGTTACGTTCTACTACGGTTCTATGAATCCCGGATGACTGCCAGAGGGCGGTGCTGGAAGCACTGAATGTTCCCTTCCCGAGTAATAATGCCAATGGAGTCACAGGTGTGACACGGATGACCAATCAGAGGCTGTATCATCCGCAGCTCTGCTCCTACAGAATCTTCTCGCGGAATTCAAAGATTTTGAGTGACAGAGAAGCTCTGGCGGTCATCCGGGATTCATAGTACCGTAGTTACATACGTAACTTTCATTCCCGTTCATCCTTCCTGACCACCAGGGGGCGGTGCTGAAAGCACTGAATGACTAATACCAACGTTGTCACAAGGAATCCTGAGCACACTTCACTGAGGACGCCCAGAGGACCCTTGCAGAAGAACCTGGCCCACGGCATGAGGGGTGGCCACGTTAACGCTGTAAAATCTGGTGTAAGTGCTTGGGGAAGCCCATGATGCAGCAGCATATATTGCTTCCAGCGGAACCCTTCTCGGGGCAGCCCAGGAAGCGGAGACGCTCCTGGTAGAGTGTGTCTTCATGCCGACCGGCAGGGGGCCGTGCCCTGCAGTATAGGCGTGGCAGATGACAGCCACGATCCAGTGGGAGAGGCACTGTTTGGAAAGAGGACAGCCTAACCTAGGGCCTCCATAACGCACAAACAGCTGGTCTGAACGTCGTATCACAGAAGTAGCTGCAACATATGCCTCCACTGCCCTCACTGGGCACAATAATCCAGACCCCTCACCAGGCATAGGCTGAAAATGTGCCAGCCTCAACGGTTGGTTACAGTGAGAGTGAGATAACACCTTTGGTACAAATGCAGTGTTTGGCCACAAGGTAACCCCAGAGCCCTCAGGGCCCCACCTGAGACATGAGGGGCTGACTGAGAAAGCATGTAGCTCGCCAACCCTCCTTGCTGAGGCAACAGCCAACAAAAAAAGCCGTCTTACATGAAAGCCTCTTGAGGTCCGCCTGCGTCAGAGGCTCGAACGGAGGGCAGCATATAGCTTCGAGAACAAAGGGCAGATCCCAACATGGTGCTCGTGGAGCCGTCGGCAGGTAAATGGTAAATGGACTGTACTTATACAGCGCATTTCTTATTTCAAGATACTCAAAGCTCTTTACACTACAATCTGTGCCTCATTTACCCATTCATACAGCTCTATACTAGATCTCTACAAAGCTAATTGAACAAATCATTCTAAAGAGACTAATCAGAGCTTTATCACATTCATACACTGATGGGACACACATCAGAGGCTATGAGGGGTTCAGTGTCTTGCCCAGGGACACTTCAGCATGTGACTGCTGATGGATTCGAACCCCCAACTTTCGCATTGGAGGACGACTGTTCTAACCACTTAGTCACAGCCACCCCAAACAACTATTATCAGTGACGACTTCATGAGATTCTTTATAAATAAAGTTATTTCAATTACAGGGAAAATTCAGACCATCCTTCCTACTGCTTCCCCTGATTCCCTGTCAGATGGTGCGGCTTTGAAGATGTTGCTGAAGCCAGATTTATGTTTGGACAGTTTTTGTCCTGTTGAGCTCTGAATTGTCAAAAATAATAACCTCATCCAAACCATCCACATGCCTGCTAGATCCCATCCCAACCAGACTGTTTAAAGAGGTATTTCCTCTAATTAATGTCCACATTTTGGATCTACTTAATTTGTCTTTAATGAATGGTTATGTACCACAGCGCTTTAAGGTTGCTGTAATTAAACCTTTACTTAAGAAGTCTGATCTTGATTCAGAAATCCTAGCCAATTATAGATCTATATCCAATTTAACTTTCATCTCAAAAATTCTAGAGAAAATAGTTACAGGTCAGTTGCGTGAACATCTACAAAGAAATAATCTGTTTGAAGAGTTTCAGTCAGGGTTTAGAGCTCATCATAGCACAGAAACAGCACTAGTAAAAGTCACTAATGATGTTCTCATGGCCTCAGACAATGGACTTGTGTCTCTACTGGTCCTGTTAGACCTCAGTGCTGCATTTGATACAGTTGATCACAAAATTTTACTACAGAGGCTCGAATATGATGTTAGGATTACAGGAACGGCTCTAAAGTGGTTTAAATCATATCTATCTGATAGATTCCAGTTTGTAAATGTAAATACTAAATATTCTTCATACACCAAAGTTAGTCATGGAGTTCCTCAGGGCTCAGTGCTTGGGCCAATACTCTTTACTTTATATATGCTTCCATTAGGTAAACTTATTAAACAGCATGGGATAAATTTCCATTGTTATGCTGATGACACACAATTATATTTGTCCATTAAACCCAATGAACCCAATCAGCTACTTAGACTACAAGCATGTCTTAAAGACATAAAAACCTGGATGACCCTTAATTTTCTCCTGTTGAACAGACCAAGACTGAGGTTTTGGTTTTTGGACCTGAGCACCTTAGGAATGAATTTTTCGGTCTTTCTCCCTCCTTAGATGACATTAATCTGTCCTCCAGCTCTAATGTTAAAAATCTTGGTGTTATTTTTGATCAGGACATGTCTTTTATCCCCCACATTAAAAACGTTAATAGAACCTCCTTCTTCCACCTGCATAATATCACTAACATTAGAAACATCTGATCTAAAGATGATGCAGAAAAACTGGTCCATGCATTTGTCACGTCTAGACTGGACTATTGCAATGGTTTATTATCTGGATGTCCAAATATTTCTTTAAAACGTCTTCAGTTGGTCCAAAATGCTGCTGCCAGAGTCTTAACTATAGGATTTATCAAAAAGGAAAGTCTTAAGCCTAGTTTTAAAACTGGATAATGTGTCAGCCTCACGGACAGAGATTGGAAGTTGGTTCCACAAGAGAGGAGCCTGAGAACTGAAAGATCTGCCTCCCATTCTGTTTTTGTAAATTCTAGGAACCACGAGTAAACCTGCAGTCTGAAAGCGAAGTGCTCTGTTAGGAAAATATGGAACAATAAGATCTGTAATATAAGATGGAGCTAGGTTGTTGAGGGCTTTGTAGGCTAGAAGTAAGATTTTGAATTCTATTCTGGATTTGACAGGGAGCCAATGGAGAGAAACTAAAACTGGAGAGATATGATCTCTCCTACTAACTATAGTTAGGGTCGGCTTGGGTTTCCTGAGCTGTCCCTTTTATGCTGCTATAGGCTTAGACTGCTGGAGGACAAACTGACCACATTTCTTCACTCTGCTACTGTCTTTACTGACTCTGCTCAACCTGTTTTGTATTTGTAATAATTTTTTCTATCCTTAACACATGTTTTTTTTGTCTTTCGGATACACCTGGACCTACCATTCTATGTTCGTTTGCCTCCCTTCCTGTCCTCTCAACCAGCCGGTCAAAGCAGATGGCCGCTTGTCCTGAGCCTGGTTCTGCTGGAGGTTTCTTCCTGTTAAAAGGGAGTTTTTCTTTCCACTGTTGCCATCGTGCTTGCTCAGGATGGGAGACTGTGACAAAGTGAAGATTCAACTTGTCTGCTGCTTCCTTAGATGGAGAACTTTACTAATTGGCTTTTATGTGAATGGCAGCACGGTGGCGCAACTGGTAGAGCTGCTGCCTCTCAGCGAGCAGGTCCTTGGTTCAAATCCCGGTCCAGGGGCCTTTCTGGGTGGAGTTTGCATGTTCTCTCCGTGCATATGTGGGTTTTCTCCGGGTGCTCCGGTTTCCTCCCACAGACCAAAAACATGCATGTTAGCCTGATGGTAACTCTAAATTGTCCCTAGGTGTGAGTGAGAGTGAATGGTTGTTTGTCTCGTTTGTCTCTATGTGTCCCTGTGATGGACTGGAGACCCGTCTAGGGTGTCCCCCGCCCCTCGCACAGTGATTGCTGGACATGGGCACCAGCGACCCCCATGACCCAAAATGGAATAAGCGGGTAAAGATAATAGATGGATGGATGAACATCTGATCGGCTGATTTCTGCAGAACCTTGGTTCTGGTTCTGTTTTTCTGCTCAGAACAGCTTCACCGGGTCAAAGCACAGAGATATTCTGTATGGGAGAACCTTCGTCCAGCAGGACAATGATCCAAACAATCCCAGCAATAGAAAAACCAGGAGGATTGGGAGCTCTTCTGTAGAGGAGCGGGCCAAAAAGACCTTTTTGGTCAGTTCTCATTTCCCAAATCATTCGAACTAATGTGCTTTTGGATTCTTAGGTGAGTTTTATTTTTTGTCTTTACATTAAAATGAAACTAAAATAAAAATAAAGACAATGTCCTTGGTCAAACTTCCAAAACCCGCTGATCTGAACAGAACCAACAGGGTCCACAACACGGCAGGTTCAGTTTCAGACTCACCGATGACCCACTGGATCCAAATGACGTCGTACCGTCTGGCCTCTGGTACAAAGTCCTGCAGACCGCAACAGATGTAGTTCCCCACCCGTTTCCCCTCGTCCCCCAGGTAGGACTTGGCCTTTTCCAAAAACTCCTGTGTCACGTCCACCAGGTCCACAGTCTGGAACAGAGGCAGCAGCAGACGTTTGGTGATCCTGCCGATCCCGGCTCCGCAGTCCAGAGCGCAGCCGGTTCCGGTCTTCCCTTCACCATCCTTCAGGGGACAGAAACCAGAGCTCAGCAGGGGACAAAAAAACCAACAACATTCAAACGAAACACTGAAACTGTGGACACGTCTTACTCCCAGGAATCTCTTCAGGAAAGCTTTGGACCCATTGATGTCGATGCTGGAGATGCTGCTGTAGCCCCCCAGCATCCCGTCCACCGTGGGGGGAACATCCTTCCAGTAACCCTCAGCGTTGGAGTAAAAACTGGCCTTGTCCTCCACAATGTCCCCCATCCTGTCCAGATAAACACAACATGATCTGAGGACCTTCTTAAATTCATCATGAGAGCAAACACGTCACAGATAAAAGTCCAGACGGAGGAGGAGACTTCTGACCACTCCATCGGTGTCAACATGGACTCAGGAGACATCATCAGACCTGAACCTGGTTCTCACTCGGAGAGAAATATCTGAAATACAGTTGAGTCCAGTTTAAGCTGTAAGTCAGTTCTGAAACGTCCCACTGAGCTGCAGGAGTCCACTTGGTTCTGGTTAAACTTCCTCCGAGGACAAAAAGTCCACCTGCTGCCCGACAGCCCGCCCACTAACTGGTCATAATGTTGTGGCTGTTCTGGGACAGCTGGTCATCACGTGAACAGAAGCCTCGCACCTGTTACCTTTTTACAGCCAAATATTACTGACAGGCTGCACTTTGAATACACACCAATATGTTGTAAATACATCCCATAATAATTTTAACATCTATCGAACTTCCTTAGTTTTCTGATGAAGACTAACTGAACGGTTAACAGAATTTAAAGACTTGCTCTTCCTCGGGAACTAGTTTAGCCCGTTAGCCTAGAAAGCTCTGATTCCTAACTTTACCGGGTTAAAATAATCAAACTAACCTGGTTTCGTGTCTCTGAACAACTTGTCCTCTTTTATTCAACGCCGGCGTCTTCAAGTCTATTTTCAATTTGAGGCCATGGCCGCACGCGCAACACGTAATTTCCTTATTTGGTTTTAGGTAGAACCGGAAGCGACGGCTCCCCCTGCTGCCTCAACTCAGCGGCTGCATCCTTCGGAGGACCCGGTCGACGTAGGCCGGAAGTCAGCGGCTGCATCCTTCGGAGGACCCGGTCGACGTAGGCCGGAAGTCAGCGGCTGTGATTTAAAAAAAAACTGTTAATACAAAAATGTATCAACTTTACAAACAATTGTCTGCCAGGGGTATATTAACAGGTACAAAAGTAAGAGTATACAAGTTAAAATGGTACAAAAGATAAAAAAAGATACAAGCCAATCTATTTACAGGTTCTATAGATAAATTCACATCAAGTTTTATTAGAACTGAGTTGGTTTTCATTGCCTTTTTGTTTTCAAGTTTAAAAGTGGTGCTGTAAAGTTCCTTGCAGAAGTGGGTTATGCTTGGCTTGGAGTTTGACCACTTTTTTGTGAATGTGGAATTTTCCCAGGAGAAGTAGAAGTTGAGTGAAGTAGATCAAGTCTTTGTCCATATCCTTATCGTCGAAGCATATTATAATGTCTTTCTCTGTAAGTTGAATTATTTGTCCAGTTTTCTGTCGTATGAGTTGTTGTACATCTTGACAGATATACACCTTTGTGTGATTACATTGATAGAATAAATGAGAGATTGTTCCCATGTGTAGGGCAGCACGTTGGTGCAACTGGTAGAGCTGCTGCCTCTCAGCAAGCAGGTCCCTGGTTCAAATCCCGGTCCGGGGGCCTTTCTGGGTGGAGTTTGGATGTTCTCTCCGTGCATACGTGGGTTTTCTCTGGGTACTCCAGTTTCCTCCCACAGACCAAAAACATGCATGTTAGCCTGATGGTAACTCTAAATTGTCCCTAGGTGAGAGAGAGAGAGTGAATGGTTGTTTGTCTCGTTTGTCTCTATGTGTCCCTGTGATGGACTGGAGACCCGTCCAGGGTGTCCCCCGCCCCTCGCATAGTGATTGCTGGACATGGGCACCAGCGACCCCCACAAGGGCATCAGCAGCATCCGTAATGTGGGGGGGACACGATGTGTGTAAGGTTTGTGTGTGCGTGCGTGCATGTGCATGCGTTAAAAAAAGGTGTTCACTAGTGAACAAAAAAGCAGCATTTCACCAAGATTTCCTTTAATTCCACACATTTAAAACATGTTTCTCACCAAGTTTGTGTAAATTCATCTGTAGGTTTTAAAGACATTTTAACTTTAATACACTTTAATACAGAGCGTCAGATCGGCACTATTTGTGTTTATAGAGAAATAAAAATCATCACCACTGGACTTTTTTACTTGTGTTCAACACTCCTCATCTAAATGATGTTTGTCATGAAGCTTGAGGACAATAAGGTGTGGGGGTTTAAAGACATTTCAACTTTAATGCACCTGAACACACAGAGTCTCTTCCACCTGCAGCGTCTTACAGCATCACAGTTACTGCTAAGATAACATGTTACAGACGTACTTCTCTCCTCCTAACATGAATATATGATCAACCCCCCGGTCAACAACTGCCCGCACAAAGCATACTACACTGGCGAGCGAGTAACACAGAGGTCGGTCCACCTCCTCCACCTGTGCGTGTTTTCTGCCGAAGCAGGAGGAGACGCACAGAAACACTGCAGGTGTTACACCATATTCCGTGACCACCGTATATTGTGACAGTGGAAACAGGCTGTTGTGTTTAGAGTTTGAGGTAACCAGGAAAACCTGGAGTGGAGTTTTAATGGTTTGAGTATTCTCCTATTAATCAAGTGGAATGGATTTGTTCACGAAGAAAGAGAAACTGCGCCGCCTGAACGAATGTTTCATAGTAAAAGTGTGTGTGTGTGTGTGTGTGTGTGGGGGGGGGGGGGGGTCCAAATTCACCTCTCAGTAGGGCTTTAATAGACTACTCAAGTAATCGACAGGTCGATTCCTAGAACATCTGCAGAGTTTTAAAATTTCACGTTGAGTATTTGCAGTTACGTCATTGCATCACGTGTCACGTGATCCCCACCGGGCTACTAGTAGAGGCTAAAAAATGGATTCCCCCCCAGCAGATGGATTGAGCGGAGCAGGCCCAGTCTTGGCAAACAGGTAGAAATGCATTAGTAGTCTGGAAATATTTCACTAAAGATGAATCTTTCGGTTCAACTACCGTAAGGAAACAGCTTCCTGACTGTTCCGAGCTCCTTGCGAACCGGTCTTACACCATATTCTGTGACCACCGTATATTGTGATCGAAGGGGGCGGTGTTGCATGCACTGTTGCAGGTCACAGAATACGGTGCAACACCGGGTCCAATCGACCGAACCAGAACCAACTTCCTTCTGACTTTGTTTCACAAACAAAAAGCAAAAAATATTCATCTCTAAACCTATTAATCTCTAAAACTAAACCTAATGCACCACAGCTGGCGGTGGTGCTCGACCACCCCACTGTTTTTATATTCGTTTTTGACGTGCTGCACGTTTCTTTCACTTTTGCAGCTTAATAATAATAACTAATAGTTTTTGTTTTCCTGTGCCTTATTTGCAGTTTGATAAATGGTAGGAGCAAAATATATGCTCCCGATGTTTTGTTGGTCTTTTTTTGTAAATAATAAATGACAGTTTTTTTTGCGGTTTTATTTTTAATTTAATTTTATTTTTTGTATCTTGAGCTCCTATGACATCAACTACTCGAGTTCTACTCGAGTTTTATTATGTTAATGTCGAGTTTAAAAATTATGTAGTAGTTCAACCCCTACCTCTCAGTATTGACTCTATAAACACGTTTTTTTAAAAACGGGGCCAGTTCTTTTGCAAATTGTTTATAGAATTCACTACTTACGCTGTCACTGCCAGGAGATTTATTATCTTTAAGCAAACAAATAGAATCTTGAACTTCTTTTAGATTAATTTCTCTGTCACAGGTTCTCTTAAAGTCGTCAATCTTGTTGTTATCCATTTCATGATCCCTTAGAAATGTGTCCATTCTTTCCTCATCTTCTAGATTTACCGAATATAAATTTTGATAAAAGTTTGAGACATAGTTAGAAATAACGTATTCATTTTCACAAATCATATTGTTAATTTTTAATTCTAGCTGTTCTGGAGTTTTTCCACTGCTGAGTGGAACTTCGGACTCATTTTATCAGTCTGATGGAGTCATCCATCTCTGCCGCCGACAAGGTCATGCAAGGTAAGAATGAGCACCCAAGGGCATATTATTCCAGGATTTAGCAGGTTTATTTTGGTTAAAGGAACGAGGCCAACATGGAGGAAGAGGAACCGTTTAAGTACGTGTTCAGCAAAAATCTCCACCCTGACATAAGGATGTCAGTGCAAATGATGGCTAATTTCAAAGAGAAATCCATCAGTGAGATAAAAAGTTGTGCTGTGAATGTTTTTGAAGCACATTCACAGGCCAAAACACCCATTGAAGTATACCCAGGTGAGAGGATTCCTGCCCAGTCATTAGAATTGGAAGGGACGAGAGCTTCGACTCCCCCTCCCAGAAAAGGTGAGAGGAAACGAGGTTTCCCAGCAGCCAAACCACAACAGGTGAGTGCCCCCTGGTCCAGACGAGATCCTAAACGTTTCCCAAGAAACCAGAGGATGAACAATCTTACCAGAAGGGGGGCGAACGCCCTAAGGGTAAAAAGTATGGCACCAAAAGTGACCCATACAACCAGGGATCCCACCGGGAACCCCAAAGAGGGGGTACTGTTTCCCCACCACGTCGGGCTGAACAGCCTGAGACGAAAAAGAAACAGCAGCAGGTCCAGAGAAAGAACTGCAGTCCTCTGAGCTCGGACGAGACAGACAGGGTGCGTCGGTTGTTGGACTTGTTGGAAGGTGTTGCCACGGACAAACAACATAACGCTTTGTTTGGCGATATCATTGCTGATGAGTCAGAGCACACAGACAACACCGTTACTGCTGTCACAGACAGTCACCATGACGCTGTTGTGGTAAACTCTGACACGACCTCACCTGAAATAGGGGGGGTACAATCACACGTCACCGACGGTGACACGTCACAAACTGAAACCTCAGAAACAGCAATAGCTGTGCTAACGGTTAAGTCCAAACAGGGTGACACAAGCAACAATGCTGCCGCTGTCATGGACAGCCACCAGAACCTTGTTGTTACAAACAATGAGAGCCCCTCAACACACGGTGAGTGGGTGATCACATACATCGATGACGGATGCCCGTCAAAAGCCGAACTCCCAGGAGCAGCAGCAACTGCACCAACGGTTCAGAAAAACCAGGATTACACAGGTGAAAGTAGACGTGAGAAGAAACGTCGGCCAAAACCTACAAGGTTCCTGTGTAACCTGATCAGAAAGGGGGTCGCTAATAAAGCTTACCTGTCGATCACACTTGAAGGGGTCGTCACACATGAAGCCCTACTGGATGGTGGAGCCGACATAACTATTATGTCAGCTAAACTGTTCGAGGAGCTCAGGACTGCCGCTAACGGTGTTCACAGGGAAATACCTCTCATAGAACGTGCTATAGGACTGCAGGGCCTCGCAGAGACGAGGACAACCCTAACAGCTAGAGCTACGGTTCACATGCAAGTTGGCGAGATGACACTATACCACCCGGTATATGTGTCTATGGTTGACTCATTCCCATTTTTGGTCGGCCAGGATTTTATAAATCGCTTTGGCGCGATTATAGATTATGGTACACTGAGTGACCCAGATATCATCCAACTTCAGAAGTTGGATCCTGCGATAAACTCAATGATACTGTACTTGACTGACCCAGACAAAAACACTCCGTCCGAAGCCAACCTGGATTCCAATCCAGACCTTAAAGCCCTCTTTCAGCTGTGCAAACAGCTAAAACTACTCAAGGGCATCCTAACTTTTGCTCATGGACCGACGTCCTCGCCCGTGTTCATGGTCCCCCATGACCACAGGGGGGTGATGTTAGTTCATGCGCATGACCACCCATCCGCAGGACACAAGGGAGATAACGCCACGCTGAAAGCATTAAAACAAGTTGCTTATTGGCCTGGAATGAAAAAGGATGTCAAGAACTAC